TGGGATTGCTAATAGTATCTATGACTGGAGGAGGAGGAGGAGGAGGAGGAGGAGGTCAGCAGCAACAAGGAACAGGATCTCAAGGAGCAGGTATAGTACCAGTTCAGGGAGGAAATGCACTAGTCCCTCAACAACAACCAGTAGTTAACCCAAAAACCCAAGGAGAGCAGTCACAAGAAGGGGAACAATCACAGACACAAGAAGGACAGCAGCAACAAGGAGGAGATGCACTGACAGTACTAGCCCAGCAACAGCAACCAGGAGCTAATGAACAAACCAATGGACAACAAGGAGAGGAGGAACAAGAGGAACAGGAACAAGGGCAGCAGAATCAAAGAGCTCAGTTGCAGAAAGGAGAGCAATCACAGTCACAAGATGAACAGCAACAGGAAGGAGACCTTCAAAGGAAAAGAGGAGACCAACAAGAAGGAGAGAGAGAGTCACAGGACCAACCAGAACCATTGGAACTTCAACAGCCAAAGGGAGGACAAGAAGATCCTGTGCATGTCGAAACAATGAAGGGAAAGGAAGATAAGGAGCAAATTGATGAGAATAGCAAACTGGTTAGTACAGAATCAATTGCTAGTCTCTTGGCATCACCTGTTGCTGCATTTGAGAGTAATAATGAAACTGAAGTATTGGATAAACCAGGGTCTGATTCTAAAGATAGTAAGTGCATACACTAGCTCTATTAATCATACTATATTGTGTCTATTACTTATAGGAATACACTCCACTGGTGTGAAAGAGGCTACAAATTATGCTGGACTGGTTTATTATGAGAAAGATCATGATGCAGGAGATTTAGTGACATTCACTTCAGCTAAGAAATTAAATGCACTTCTTGAGGTAACTCACTATAACTCATCACTGGTTTATCTATCAGATATTTTCTATATAGTTTATTAAGAACGAATATCCACAAGCTAAACGAGGACCTTATGCTTACTTCCGTATTGCATCTCCTGATGGTTATGTTGAATTGAATTTAAATGCTCCACAAGATGAGCCATTTACTGGATGGAGTATTAAACCTCACATTAAGCCTTGCAGGGTATGTTATAACTGTGTATTTTACATGCAACATATTGCTTTTTATTTCAGTTGTATCAAGATGATATTAATAATTTTGGAGATAAAGATTATCCTCTTCCTCCATCTTGTCCAATATCAGTGTATGGATCACCTGATGCTGTTCCTACACTAAATTACTCCGTACCACTGGAAGGTGTAGTTCGTCCACTTATATTCTATATTCGTAGATCACTGAGAACAACAAGTAATAGATAAATCATTTCAATTGTTTGTTTATTTAATATTAATCAGATCCTACTGCCTCCTCCTCCAATACAATAATTACTGAAGCTACTGCATCATCCACTGGATCCACTGGGGGAGCTAGTAAGTAGCAATGTGTGTGTTTATGTATAGTTTGTATGTTATTGACCTTTGACCTCTATTAGGTGTACCAGCTACTGTTGATGTTGATAAAGTTAAGAAAATCATTAATGATGTTCTTGTATCTCACTATGCTCGCCTTAATGATCTTAAAATGTCTCTCTCAGATCTTGGTAGTCAATTGTTTGCCTCTGAGCTTATTAGTGATGAAGTCAGAGAGACTCGTAGCATGGAAAAGTTCATTGGAGAGTTCAAGGCTAGTTTTAACTTTATGGATGAAACATCAGAAGTTCAAGATCACTGTACAAAGTTTTTGAAATCATTTATTGCTGTTAGAGGTGGTTATGCTAATGCTGCAAAGTTTTTACGTAAGAAGTGGATTGAAGCTATTAAAACTGAACTAGGCATTGATTTTATTCTTGATATTTAGTGTTAGGAAACTCTGCTGCCTGCAAGTAACAATACATGTACGTATGCTGTGTGTGTGTGATGCTGACATTTTATAACAAAATTTTTAAAATAGTAATTACAACCATGAAGGTTATCATTTCTAAGTAATTCAAATTCAGTCAGCACTGTCATTTCCAGTTTTCATTGAGATCACATGAACTGATGTTTTTATGGAGAATGCAGACTGAATTTAAACAGACAAGTCTTTATACTTCTATAGTCTGTTCAGGTTGACTTCTAACTCATTACTTTATGCAGACTTGGCTTCAAACATGGTCAAGGTGTTAAGTAGATGTTAAGTGAGTATGAAGTAGTTATGAATTTTATTATTATTAATTAGCATGTATTATAAAAACATTGGATTAAAACACTATTATTATACATAAAAATCAGACTCATCCAGAGCGGCCAAGTCATCATCAGAGTCAGGGTCTGATGGTAGTACTTCATCATCACTATTATCATATTAATCATCGGATTCACCACCAATTAGACAACATAGAATCATGGATGACAAATTCCCGAATTCCGTCCAGTTCCCAGTAGTGATCCTCAAAATTATCTTGAACATGTTTTACCAAGTTCTTCTATTTATCAGGAGTAACTAAATCAAACCCTTCCTGCCCTGGCTATTCAATCTAACTCCTTGCTTTCTCTTCTTCTCACTTTGGACGCCATTTTAAACAATTTATTCTGACTTCCGGTCACACCTCCTGTTGTGATTATAATGGTAGGCAGTGGCTTCTAAGTGGCGGCAGTGCTTAGATCTCGCAGCTTTTATACTTTCTGCAG